TATCCGTCAAAAGTTGTTTATTGAAATTACCTTCTTTTTTGTATCATGAGTTTACATAACGAATACTAGTGACCCTGCAAACCAAAGTTCCCGAAATCTTAACGAAATCTTTAGGAGTATCTGATTTCTGTAACGATTTTTTTCCGAATCTTCAAAGAAAATTATATGAAGTGGTTGACACGAACTCGAAAAGAAATTTCTGTACGAAAAATAAAGAAAATTCTGAAAAAAGTCTGCAAGAAATTCTTCACATAGCAGCATTATTTTCATTTCTTTACCGATTTTCTTCCGAAATTTCGTAAAAGAATGGAAGTGTGCGTAATTTATTTCATTTTAGAAAATTCGGCAAAAAATCGGATGGGATCTTTCCGAATTCTTTAAAATTTCTTTACGATTCAGAATACTCTGAAAAAATGGTTTGCAGGGGACATGCATACATATGTTTGTATGTATTAGAGTGGTTCATAAAAACACTCTGTTTGGAAATTCATAAACGCTATATCAGAATATTGTTATTTGTGATAAATAAAGAGACGTATTTTTTTTATTTTGAAAAAAAAGTTTTCTTAGAGGTCGCGCTGGTCGGTTTTTTTATAAAAACGCTGATGTAAAACAAGCCTACAAATATGTACTACACATCGTCGTTTAATGTGCATAACCGCGTATTAACAAAATGCAAAACCGCGTATCAGGATAATGCAAAACCACGTATGTGAGGTTCCATCAAAACACTCATATTTAAAAATGGTTCTCTTTTTTATAAAGAAATCGCATTTCTGCCTAGTATATTTCAAAACGCATGATTAAGGATTAAGCCAAGAGCTTGTGTGAGCAAATCCAATTTTTGGCAGCAAATGTCAGTTACGCGGTTTTGCAGAATGACGATGCGTGGTTTTGTACTTTAAACGACGATACTTATCTATAAGCAAAAGGAATAAATTTTTAATACATTTTGCTTCTGGTTATATGGTATATACTTTTAGGCTTATTTTTTGCATAAAAATCAACTGCCTAATCATAAATAATAAAAAAATATATATGTAATCTTTATACTTTCCAATGCACTAAAATCTTATAAGTATGTTTTTGTAACTTACCAAGTTCTCACAAGGTATGTGTCTTTGTTCACCCATTTCCCCTTCCTCTTGAGCACTTACCGAAAACACAATGGTTTATTTAAAAACTAGCATATTTTAATTGCTGTCTTGACTTGTATATAGCATGTATATGTATGTAAATATGTAAGTAATTATAATAGCAATAAAACAAAAAAAACAAAGTTGCTCGGTGCAGTGCGTATTTGAACGCACTGTATATTCTGATTGTGAGTCAATCTAAAGTTNTTAGCAATAAAACAAAAAAACAAAGTTGCTCGGTGCGGTGCGTATTTGAACGCACTGTATATTCTGATTGTGAGTCAATCTAAAGTTTTGCTGCATTCAAAATGAGCCGTTAAGGAACTTAGTAGTTACATATCTTCCATTTTGAAATTATGTCCTTCGGCTGGTGATATCGTTATGGAGTCAATGACGTGAGCTTGATGTTGAGCCTCACTCGTGCCGTCTTTTGAATGTGAGGATACGGCAGTATTCGAATTTAATTCGGACGGCGACAGTGTTGCGCCATGGTGGCTCAGCAGATGCTGTTGTTGCTCACCGCCGCCGCTCAAATGCGCTGAATGTGACTGATGAGATTGCACCTCCGACACACAGATCGCTTCGTCGCTCAGACTCGTTTGCGCTGGCGATTTTAGTGTGCTACTGCTGGAAGCTATCACTGGTGTTGTTGTTAAAGGTGAGCTGAGCGAATTTGCACCACCACTGCCGTGTTGCGACTGATTACTTTGATTCGATGGACTTTGCAGATGAAGCGTTGGTGGTGGTGGGAGTGGCGGTGATTGCATTAGCGGCGTTATCTCTAAATGCGGTTGATGTTGTTGAGATAATTGTTCGTGCGAATTCGAGTGATGCTGATGTTGCGTCAAGTGCGCCATGGTATGTGGCAGTTGGGAATGGTGACTATGGTGCATAACATTTGATGCATTCGCACTATGCAATAGATTCTGTATAATGCGGTTTGATCCTTGGCCGTTTCCTGAACTGCCAATCACATGTTGTTGGTGGTGATGGGGATGATGGTGATGATGATGATGCAAATTGATGTGACTGCTCCCGCTATCGGCAGTCGAGTTATGCGACATTAAGAGACTAGTAGCCGACTGAGAACAATGGGTGCGCCCATGCGGAGAACTCATTAAACTCGCCCCGATTGGGGGCGGAGATATAGAGCCACCTACTGAATGCAGCGGTTGTTGCTGGTGCTGGTGTTGCATCTGTTGTTGTTGCTGTTGATTTTGATGCAACTGCAGTTGTTGTGAGGGAGAATTATGCATGGAGTTATGTGGTTGATACATAGATGCACCAATGACACTGCTCACGGTCGTATGATGTAGCCGTGTTCCTGTGACAGCATTCATACCGCTTGCAGCATTATTGCCGCCGGGCAGTAGTGTGCCGGACATATTAATCGAATTTAAACTAATTGAAGGTGAGATAGAGCTTGGCACTGAGGTCGATTGCTGAACATTGGCATCGATAGAAAACCCGGCGCCACTCGTACTTCCACTCAGATTTCCTCCGGATGCGCCATTGCCAGCTCCACCGCCACCTGGTCCACTACCTCTCATATGTGGTGGATGGTTATGCACTCCTGTCGCTGATATGACGCGTCCCTGATGCGTTATGCAACGCGCTCGGCACATACTAATGCGATAGGACTTGCAGAGCCAATAAGTTTTCATGCCTTGTTGAGTAGCCACAGTGTTGTTTCGGTTAAACACGCAATTACCGTGCAACAGAGACGTGGAAGAGAGCATCACCACATTGCTGCTATCTAAGAGTAATTGTATGCGAATGTTTGTTGTATATGGATTGAAATCAGATCACATTCGGCACATCGGTAAAGTCAAAAGTCAAAGATAAAGTAAATACGTAATATGTTAATATCGTTCGGATATATTATCATATTACATAATATACGAGCGCGTATGTAAATATATACAATATACAATATATGGAGAGCTATGTATGTACATAATCGTGAAAATTTTTCGTATTAACTATGTAGTTACTATTAGAACAATTAGGTGTACAAGTATTTGTGCTGTTTAAGGTTTCAAAGTGAATTATTTACATACAGGTAGATATGTAGCAGCGATTGATTAAGCCATTTAGCGTGGACATTTTTGGAAAAATCAGTGGTGAAAGCTTGAAAGAAAAATACGAATCTGATCTAGAGTGAGACACAGATCCATACATAAAGGCAAGTGCACATACATATCTGTATGTATGTACTCTAAACGAGCATAGAATTTACTAAAATGATTGTTATACATATTTTTTATAAGCGTGTGCAAATAATTTTCAATTGCAAAATAGTCGAGGACTTATATGCCTTATTGCCAACAAAATATTATACATACATACATGTCTAAATTTACTGTGCATTGATATATAGTAACTATCGTACCTTTGCCCCAAGAGCGTCATATCCAAAAAGCATACACTCGAGAAAAACGGCTTCAAAGTTTACACTTTGAATGGTAAAAAGGAAGACGCATTTTTTTTTGTAATGAGCTATTGTTAATCAATACAGCTTTGTATTTTTCACACACAATGGAAGAAGAGATGTCATTTCTGCAAACTTTTCATTTGTCATTTCAAAAACTTTTTAATTATGGCACTCTTGCAGCAAAGGTACGATTCGTCTTCGGAAAAATAATTGAAGTGGTTGTGGCACAGTAGTTACCACCGCAAGGATGCCGTGAATTTTATGATTCAAGTTTAAGATACAAATTGAAAGAAGAAATCGCTACGCCAAATTTATATCGCTAAAAATTTCTAAATGAATACCATATGAGCCTAAAAATATGCAACGCGAAAAGCGGAACGTGTTCAATATAAAATCTTAAGCAATATATAACCTCATACACGCAACAAAATAATATGGGTACGGTACAAATTAATTGAGGAGCCAGTACCCAATAACTAAATTATTAGTTTAAATTGGAGATCAAAGCAAGATATAGGGCCTGTTCGAGGTACCTAATAAAGCGCCATTACTGCCGCACTGATGAAAATTTGCAACACTGTTGCACTGCCCAACTATAACACGTTGCTAGAAATTCACACCGAACGTGACATTTTAATAATTCGAGCAGCACTGCGGTTGTGATTGCAACTCGAACAAGCTCCTACTCATGAACAAAAGACACAAGATCACGCGGGAAGGAAAGAACGAAAAAAGTTATTTTCTAGCTGCCGAAATCGCGACGCCATCTTTGTTGTAAGAAGTAAACAACGAAGAGAACGGAGAAAACCGCGAAATTGTTGAACGCTTGAATAATCATTTTTATTATGCAAATTCTTCTATAAATCATGCCGTTGTGTTAAATTATTCTTTACCTTATGTGTACACACGTTGTCACAGGCGAAAAAGAAGAAAATTGCAGTAAAAAGCCACGACCAAATTGTAAACAATGAAGAAATGTAAACAAACGGCTATTGTCAAACTCGTTAAACTTTTTTCCTAAATGCGATTCTAACGGGCTACTCTCCTGCCCGCGTGATCTTGTATTTTTGGTTCATGGCTCCTACTCACATCCAAGAAAACAGGTCATAAGATCCAAATATACAGACAGTAACCAACAATATCCACATAACACATTCGATTCTTGAGTTCTATTGCATCATTTATCATATAACATAGCTTGGTGATATAATGGGCGTATGTAGTTTTCAAAAATATTGAAAGTCATATCTTCGCAGTCATTAAACAAACGACTTATAGGTTGTCTTACAAAATTGGTGATTTTTTTGCATTTCAATAATTTCACCGTAAAACTTCAAAGCTCCAATAAAACTGTTATAATTATGATGCATAGTTCTCGTTCGAGCTTTTTAGGATAAACTGAAAGTTATTGGTAAAGATATTGAGGCATACTCATAGTCGAAATAAAGTCGACTCTAAATTTAATAGTAGCGTTTTTGGCAGATATTACATTCATAATTATGTCAAAAAGCTGCAACTAACTTTAGTTTCG